ATGACCCTGGGAAGTCACTTAATGTTATTTGCCTCAGTTTCTGATCTGTAAAATGAGCTGCGGAAGGAAATGGCAAACCACTCCAGTATGTTTGCCAAGAAAACCCAAAATGGGGTCATAAAGGGTTGGACATGTCTGAAATGATTGAGTAATAAAGGTCTAGTATCGTATCTTACAATAAGTAGGTTCTTAGTAAATGCTTGTTGAATCAAAGCAGATAAATTGAAGGACCTAAGAATAACTGATATTTCTACAGGACCTTATATTCAATAACTCATGTGAGATTCATAATAACTCTATGAAGAAGTGGTTATAGGTATTCAGGTTTCTCAGATTCTCAGAGATGCCACGTGTTTTGCCCATATTCACAAAGCTAGCAATTGTTAGAAGCAAGATTTGAACTCAATTCTTCCTTGCTCCATTTCCAAGTCTAGCTTGTTATCTACTCTGCTGTCTTGCTTCTCTAAATGAAACTTACATTAGCATAAAATAAGAATACCTAGTATTTACATAGCACTCCAAGTTTTGGGAAACTTGGGAAATACAGTTATATCTCATTTGTTCCTCACAACAACTGTGGGGAATACTCTTACAATCCTCATTTTACAGGTGAAAAAGTGAAGGAGACAGAGGTAAAGTCATATACAGCTAGGAAATGTCTGAGGTTGGATTTGAACTCTGGTCATCCTTTCCTCAGATCTAGCACTCTATCCACTATGCCACCTAGCTATTCCAAGATGGGACCTGACATTTAGACTGGAACCAAGATTTAGTTAGACTTGTTCATTGACTTGTGAAGCTATACGACTGGAATCCTAAACCTTCTTTTCACCATTTTGGTTACTTTAATACAACCCACAAGTAAACTGGCCTAACCAAATGTTGTGTCCCTGCTTTCTATGCACAATAGTTCTGTATGTATGGCCCTTATTTCTAACAAGGTGAATAAAGCATAAGCATCAGTCAAGCCTATAGGAAGACAAGCCTTTGCCTTTTAATTAATGTCTCATAAGATTAATTCTTTAAAGAAGTAGAAAGTCATTTTATCTGGGCATCACTGTATCAACCCTGACCTGATAATGAAGCTTATATTTATTTATTGCCCAGATAATCTGTCATTGATGATGGATTTGCTACCTGACCTTCACCAGTGGACATAGCCTTTAAAATGAAGGCTAAGGACACAGAGGAAATATGGTAGAGAAAAATTCAGAAGAGAGAAGCGCTACATACAGAAAGTGGACCAAGGTAGAGGTAGGTGAACACATTGCACATTAATATGCCAATTTTCTGTTGGTGAATTTCATTTTCATTAAGTTGCTTATTGTCATTAAGTAATCACTTAAAGGAATTTGACTTTTCTATCCACACAGACATGACCAAATGGATGAGGAATATCTATTACCCTTTTTTAAAAATAAATATTTGAATAGATACCCTATACATTTGGGACAGTTGATTGAGCTGGATATGATCTCGGGGCAGAGTTAAAAAGAAGAGCAAGATGTATTGCTTTTGGGAAATTGTGAATCACTTTTAAGGACTGGGATTTTTATTAGAGCAGAGGTCCATTTTTCAATACAAACATATGTACGCGCGTGCACACACACACACACACACACACACACACATTATCAGTATTATCAGGATTGCTGTATGGCAGTTAGACCTGGAACACCATTACCTCTAATGGACTAAAAAAATATTCATCACAAAGAAGAAAATGAAAAGGAAAAAGGTAGGTCTGAGCAAGCTGCAAGATATGACCAATGAGGAACTCTGAAAAAGAATAGGAGTAAAGGATATCATCAAAGAATGATACGACAGGAAGAAAAGATGTCTGGTCACATGGTAAAATTAAGGGATGACAGGTACATAGCCATATTGCTCCACTGGTAGCCTTTCAAAGATAGATGGTTTCAAGCAGCAGCTTTATTTAACATGTTGGGTCAACCCTATGTGGTGAATTTAGGAAGCTATGGATGAGAATCTCACAGGATGGGAAGTCATGGATAGGTCAAAATCAGCATTGTTATGAAAGGTGAGCTCAAAGATTCATTTGTGTCTATCTTTTGGTATCCATTATGTTCTGCACCTCCCAACTGTCTTCTTAAAGAAAGTACTCATGATTTTGAGATATTAGCTTTCTGAGCAGTCTACATAGTATTGGCCTCATATCTTTATTAATTAAAAATCATATTTTCAAACAATGTTTGCCATTTTCTCTTGTGCTTTCCTTTTTATTTTGTTGTAAGATATTGTCAATTTCCAAGAATTTCTCTACCTTCTCCCCTCTGCAAATGTTGCTATATGGACTGCTATTGTCTCTATGGTGCTCTAATATTTATACTAAGTAAGGCAAGATAAGATGATCAAGGGTCCATGAAAACCTAGAGAAAAGAGAGCATCAGGAAAAGTGTGATAGTATCAAATACTGGTGTGGGGAGGGGCAGAGGGAAGAAACAAACATTTATTAAATGCCGTCTATGTGCTAGGAAATATGCTAAATGTGTTACATGTACATCATCTCTTTTGATTCTCACAGCCCTGGGAGGTAGGTGCTATTATTATTCCTGTTTTATAATGGAGGAAATTGAAGCAGAATTTAAGTAATTTGCCCAGAATCACACAGAAAGGACATATCTGAGGTTGGATTTGAACTGGGGACTTCCTGAATGCAGTTTCATCTTTCTATCCTTTGTGCCCACTTGCTTTCTTTAAATCTCAGCCAAATTGTTTTGTGTATGTTTGTGTGCACTTGTCTCCCCCATTAGATGATAAGTTCCTTAAAGAAAGGGACTGTCTTTTGCCTCTTTTTGTATCTCTAGCATTTAGTACAGAGCCTGATACATGTTGTTGTTGTTGTTCCATTAATCAGTTGTGTCTGATTCTTTGTGACCCCATGAACCATATTCTCCTTGGGCTTTCTTGGCCTTTTCCTTCTCCAGTGGATTAAGGAAAGCAGAAGTTTTGAAGGCCTTTAGATTTAGCAATTAAAATATTATTAGTAAATTTGGAGAAAGCAGGTTTGATAGAATAAAGCTAGAAGCCAAACTGCAGACTTAAGAGAGAGAGGAAGTAGAGGAACCTATTATAAATGGCTTTTTCAAGGAGGCTAGCCACAAAAGGGAGACAATAGCCAGCAGGTGGCTCAAGAGAGACTTTTCTGAGAATTGGATAAGCATAGGCATGTTTGCAGGCCAGAAGAAAGTAGCATATAGACAGGCAGAGATCAAAGATGTCAGATCATTGAGATGATAGAGGGTGCAATCTGTTGGAGAAGATGGTTTTACATGTGATCAATTGCAAATGTGGAAGGCTTTGCCTTGGCAAGAAGATCCATTTCATTTTGGAAGACTGGAACAAAGGCAAAAGGCATCTTGAATAATGTGAGAGAAGGAAAAAAGAAGGATATTTAGGTGAGTGGCCTCATTTTTCAATGACATATGAGGCAAGATTCTCAGCAAAGAGGTTGGGGGAAGGTAGATCCATGGGAGGTGTGAAGAGGGATGATAAGATTTCCTAAAGCTTCTGTGGTCTGGAGAATAATGAATCAATTACAGAGATGTAAAAGGAATGCCTAGCCACACTGAGATTACATAACATGCATTTACAGAAGATCTAGTTTTCAAGTAGGAAAGTACAGAAGAGGAGAAGTTAGGAACAAAAAGAATGTGCAATCTCTTCTGGGCCCACATTTCTAGCAGCACTTAATACTAGAGACTTGCCAATGACACAAGGTGCTCTAAATGGAAGCATGATATGAGGGTAAGACAGGAAAGACTGGGAGGTAAAGGGGAGTCTTAACAATCATGGGTGGATTTCAGAGGGTGCAATGCTCAGCAGAAAGTAGGGAAAGCAAAAAGAACTTATTAATATAGTCCCATTGATAGCTCATCTATATTCTATAGCTATCACATTACCGCTCCCAACCCGCAAAAATGAATAGCACTCATAATTCCTACGTAATTCAATCCACCTTTCAGAAGCACCTTCCCTCGACTATTCACTTCTTTCTTGTTTTATTTCCAAGACGTTAAAACTGTTTGTAATGGCTATAATCTCTTCAACTGTTCTTGCTAGATAAGGTTTGTTTTCCCTTTCATTTTCTCTGCAAAATAAAAGAATTTTTTTTTAAAGACAAGTTCCCTCAGTAGCTTGACTATGCTTTTCACTTCACTTGCTTTATAAATAGGCATTTCAGCTTTATGTTTTCATTTCAAATGAACCAAATGCTTCTAAGGGAATGGCTTGCCACACATCAGATGGTCTTTAGCTACCGACTTTTATTCTTTATGAGTTCACAATGTCAAATTTAGATAAAGTACAATTGATTTTGGTTTGGTGTACAGAAGGTGCCCTGCTGAAATTGAAGCTAATTAAATGGCAGCAAGTAGAGATATGTGGAAAAGGAAGGAAAAAGACTAGTCATGGAGCTTTTGTTATTGGTAAGAATGAGTATATAAACCTCCTCATCTGTTCCCTTCTCCATATGCCCTCTTTCCATTCCCTATTTCTGGCCCTACTTTCAACCCGATCTATTTATTATAATAACTCTCCAACTCTAGTCATTTTCCTTTTGAATCATCATACACATCAAACTAATCTTTCCGAAACATGGCTCTAATCATATTAGTACCCCGCTTAATACCTTCAATGGCTCACCACTGGCTAAAGAACAAAGTACAACCTCATTTGTATGGCATTCTGCTACCAATCTACTCTACCTTGACAGCCTTATCATCCACTTTTCCATGAGAGTTGGATTACTCTATATTCCCCAAACATCCCCTATGCTTTCTTACTGTTGTTGGATGTCACTCTCCACCCCATCTCCTCTGCCTCCTCCTTGGAAGAATCCTGTGTCCCACTTAATCAGCCTGCTCCACTCACATGGCCTACTTCTATGTGCCAATTTCAGTTTCACCTCTCTACCTATTCTCTTTAAGAGGTGACGAACTGATATCCCCAGAAGCAGAGTGAAGCGAACAGACCTGTAGGAAAAATAATTCAGTGAGTATAATAATGTAAAGGAAAACAACTTTGCTGGTCATTCTATTCTCTCTGCCTGAAACTCTTTATCTAGTATCTCTCCTTATCTTTCTAGGGTCAGTCAAATGTCACTTCTATCAGGAAGCTTTCTTTGATCTTTCTTATAAAGTCTGATCTCTCCCTCTTCTGGCCCTTCATAATATTTATCTGTTTCTTCTTTCTTATGGTGCTTATATTTTGCTTTGTGCTCTAGCTATTTGTGGTAGCTTGAGATCATCTTACTTGTTTTCACAGCTTCTGTGAAGATCTCAAAGGCTTGGAAAAGGAATCACAGAGGGAGCCAGGAAGAGTGGATTCTGGGTGTGAGGCAAAACCTGCTGGATATTACATTGTCCTTTGGGGTCACATAGATCTTTTTTTAAAAAAAATTTTTTTTCATATTGATCTTTTTAACAAGATGTGCTGAGCTGGATCTGGAGCCCTATGATTGCCAACAGTGTTGGCTTCTCATGTGTCCTTCCATGGACATCAAGAAACAAGGAGCCTTAGATCACCACACAAGGCTATTGTGGAAAGCTGGACCAGTCATTGCAATCTTGCCTTTAAGAAGACTCCATGATCAATATTGATCAGGGTTTGTGTAAACTTTGAATAACTAAGAAATCTTCTTAATAAACCTGGAGATAAAAGAAATAGATGCCTTGATGCCCTCTGTCTTTCTTTTCTCCTAAGAAGGGAGAGGGAAAACACCACTACCTCATTCACTTTATAAGTCTTGACATGTTTGGGGAGGAGTGAGGAGTGAGAGTTGGGGGAATTTTCATCTCTATATAGGAGATCTGGGTAGTGGGGTTGAAGAAAAGAGGCATAAAATTGAAAATGATAGTAATGACTATATCCTAATAGGATTAGGAAAGTTTATAGATTTTTCCCACTTTATTGTATGAATAATCAAAACTGTAGTGATCATATACTGAATGTCTAAATATATGGATAGAGAGAAAAAGATGAGAGAGTGAATTATCTCAAAGGAGTGAGGTGCTGGGGCCAAAATGTATTGGGTGGAATTTCATATTTTAATATTTTATAAATATATCATACCCTAGGTCAGGAATCAGGAAAGTAAAGGGTTGAAACTCCACTTTTGAGCCACATCTGCTACTTCTGCTGCTGCTACTACTAAACAGCTAGCATATATATAGCCCTTTAAAATTTTCAAAGAGTTATCCCTATATTGTCTCTTTTGATTCTCACAACAAACCAGTGGAGCAGGTGCTATTGTTAGCCACACTTTACAGATCAGGAAACGGAGACATAGAGCAGTTGAATAACTTACCAAGGCTTACATATTTAGTAAGTATCTAAGGTAAGACTCAAACTCAGGTCTTCTTGATTTCAGATCCAACACTCTCTCCACTGTACTTCGAAGGTAATTATTGATAGCATTTTTTTTGGGGGGGTGGAGCAGTCTAAGACATTTTTAAGGTTTGAGCACTGTCTAGTGGCCATCAGAGATATGGTGAACTGATTTTTTTTTTTTGCCAACCTCATTCATATGCGTCTGGCAAAGAAGAAGAGCTTAGCAAAGTAACAGTTGGTGACTAGCTCAGAAATTACATTGTGAAATAATTCCAGCTCCATGACTGTATTTCATTCCATCTGACAACACATACTAGTCAATATTACAAGTGAATATTCCATGTGTCTATATGTCTTAGCTCATCTTCTAGATTGTAAACTCATTGAAAACAAGATTATTATCTGATTTCATCTTTGCAACTCTCCCAAATTTCATTAAGAATACAACAAATATTTATGGTAGGCACAATAATATTTGGTGAATTTAATTACACATTTGGAAAAATTTTTGGTGAATATATTTTTGTTATTATTGTTTATTTTGATGTGACAGATAACAAGAATGAGCTTATTTAAAATGATAACCCTAGATAAATTTGAAAAGTAAGAGAAGTTTAGTTGACACATTCAGTGTTTTGACACATTCAGTGTTTTTCAAAGTTATTTCCACTAACTCTGGATGGAAGCAATGGGAGAAAGCTTAACAATAAGTTCATATAGGAGTTCAAATGGTGTTGGTTTACTTACACAGATATTTCATATCCTGACTGATCCCAGAAACTACCTCCAATTATTCAAAGTATTTAGACTTTCAAGGGACCTGGTCCAATCACTATTATTGGACATAGTCCAATAATTACTCTTAATATTTGGAGTTTGAAGGGATCTAGTCCAACTCCTTCATTTAGATGAATCATTTATTAATTCAACAACAAGACTTTATTTAACAAAGCTTTGTTAAGAGTATAGTATGTATAAGTTACTCTGTTAGGCTCTTTGGATAAAACAAGACAACGGAGAATAAAAACAGTTCTAGTCCTCAAGAGATTATTTTCTACTAGGAGGGGGTAGGGTGAGTTTACAACATATTCACAGATAGTTAAGTATTGGATAGTTTGGCTAGGAGGATCAGGAAAGGCTTCTTATCAAAGATGGCACTTAAGTCATTCCTTCAGAGAAGTTAAGGATTTTAAGTTTGGGAAAGAGTAAATTCCTGGCATGTGGGATAGCATATGGGAAGTCATAAAGATAAGAGATAGAATGTCAAGCTTCAGAGACAGCAAGAAAATCTGTTTGATTAGCATATACAGTCTGTAGAATAAGTTTGAAAAGATAGCTTGAAGAAGCACTGTGAAGAGCATTCAATGACAAATTGATGGGTTTGTATTTTATCCTAAAGGAAATAAGAAGCTACTAAAGTTTCTTGAACATGAGAGTGGCATGGTCAGACCTATATTTTAGAGAGATCATTTTGACAGGCTCAAAAAGCACAGATTAAGAAGGTGTAGGATAGAAGAAAGAAGTCCTCTTAGAAGGCTACTGCAATAGTCCAAGCAACAGGTGATAGAGCACCTGAACTATGAAGAGGCTCTATAAATGGAGAGAAAAGGGAAAGATTCCATAAAGGCCATTTAGTCAATAAGAGCTCTTTGGCAGCCATGAAGAAAATACTTTCAATTGAGTTGTGGGGTATAAAAATGGAAATGAGTGGGAGATGAGAACATGGAGACAGTATATGCAGATGAATTTTCTTTTTGGAGTTTCCATGGGAGTAGAGCTAGAAGATGATAGTTTAGGGGTGAGACAGGGTTAAATGAAGCTGTTATTGTTCATTTGGTAGGAATAGAAAAAGAGAGTAAAGACGAGAGAAGGTGTGTGTGTTGGAGGGGGTCATTAGGAGGGGTAAAGTCTTTTAACTGATAGATAAGGTTAGATTAAAGATGGGTGATGGGAGTGAAAAGAAAGGGATCCAAGTCCCAAGTAAAGTGATTGGCCTTGGATGGGATAAAAGTAGCCTCTTAACCAGAAACTGAAACAAAGGAAGAAAGAATGAGGCATGAGCTAGAGGATTTTAAGGTAAAGAACAGGGGAGAAGAGAGAACTTCTGAAGGATAGCTTTTATCTTCTCAATAAAATAGACTTTGGAGAACTCTGCTAATAGGGAGAAATGCAGGGTAATATAGGAGGTTTTAGGAGATAAGAGGAAGCTTAGAAAAATGGCCATGAGACATAAGAGAGTTGACTAGGGAAATATAAGAAAATTGCCTTGCAGCAATGAGACTTAGGATCAGTTATTTTTGATTTATTTTTTAAAAGACCCAATTAGCATGGTTGTATGGCCTTCTCCATCAAGATTCAGTAGCATCTGTGTAGGAGAAGAGAAGGTAAATTATGGAGGTAACTAAGTGTAAGGTTTGGTAGGGTATGAGCAACTATAGGACAAGGGGTCATGGGATTTGAGTAGGGGAACATATAGTTGAATGTGTTCACTATAGGGCTAAAACTTCAATGGGGAAGAAAGTGATGGTAGAATAGGACAATGAACAGGAGAACAGGAAGGAGTTGAGTAACTGAAGGTCCAAGTGAAGATGAAGAATAAATAAAATGAAAATGAAGAAAAGATGACAGGCTGGGAATCTAATCTGATGAGAAAACTAAGACCCAGAGAGGTGCAGGGTTCTGCACACACATACACAGGTAATAATTAGAAGAATTCAGATTCAAATCAAGGTCTTCTGACTCCAATTTCAGTGCTATTGACATTACATGGACTATCCCTCAGTAGCATCCCACCCTCTTTCCCTTCTGTACTTAGACAAGTCCCAGTGAAAATGTATATTTCTCTAGGGAATGCTCATTGTCAATACACCAATGTTAGAATAAATATGTACTCACAGATATAGAATGTATCCAGGGATGTCAGGGTAAAGAATCCCAGTACAATCAAATATCTGTTTGCAGTACTAAGGTTTCTCTGAAATAACTACCCAACCACATTTGGGAGGATATTGGGATGAATTATTCCCTGGAGTTACTTGGTCATCACAGCCCTTACTTTATTTAGGAACTTTCATGTGGGATGGAATGGCATTACCTTGCTTCACATGTGTTTCCTTGCTATGTCTGTTTATCTTCATAAACAAGCTAGGGGCTGGGCCTCAGACCTTGTCCCAGAGTTCCTGATCAGAAAGGTCTGCTAGTCCATCCCATAATCAAATCTACCAATTATTTTATAGCAGTGAGATATGGTATCAGTCAAAATTATTTTAGTGGACCCAGTCTACATGGTTGTATGGCTATTATGTTTACTATAATACCCTTCCAATATTACAAATTTCAATTTGAACAGAGGTTTTCAATGCCTAAAGCTAGAAAATGACTCATTATGGGAATTATAAACACTAAAACTAGCTATAGGAGAAGATGTTTTGGGGAGGGAGAAATTATATCCCTCAAACTACATTATGAAGGTGACTGATGACTCCTAGGGATTAAGCTGACCCTGTGTACTCAAGTAATTTCTGAGAATTGCAGTTTTATTTTACAATCCAATTTTTGTGCTCTTAGCTATTCAATTTATGTTGGATTACATGGATTGGATATTTTCCATGGCTAGATTATCCTCTCTCAAGCTTAGGGATCTATTTCAGAAGAGAGGGAAAACAGAAGGAGGCCCATTCTAACTGTGTTGTCCTGATTCCCCTCTCATGCACAGGTGAGCAATAGATTTGAATAGAATTGCTCCTAGTGTCATTGCAACCAGCTGCTTCAGATACTTTCAGTATGCAAATCAGTTGAAGTCAGAGCAGGACATACTGAGGAACATCTGGAAATTCTCGCTTCCTCAAGCTGTGAATTCCATTCCACATTAGTGGAATTGTTCTGTAGGCTTAGAGCCACAAGTCTGTTTCCCCAAAGGCATTACTCCCTTCCCTGATGTTCCCTATGTTTTCATTATGGAAATTTCTATCTACTGAATGAGTCCTTGAGGTCTGGGAGAGTGGTAGTAAAGAAGTCTCCCTATGTTCCCCTTCCTTCACCTGAGTAGATTGGGATTTACTGGAAGATTTCAAAGCCACACAGAGGAGGGACTCAAGTCAGTTTCCATAGTTACAATTGA